TAGAGTAGAGGCGCAGTTCCGCCAGCGTTAACACACAGCGACAGTTCTGAGGAGCCCAGTAGTTGCGTTTGCACTGCCTTCCGCGGCTGAAGACGAGTCAGAACAAGTCTAGCGCACGGAGGATGGCAGTTGCGCGTTACCATGAGCAACACATGTAGTGAGGCTCGTCGTTATGCCGGCTCAGTTAGTATTAGTTATGGTGGCTGGAAAATGTTATGGTTTAAAAGCATGTGTACTAAAAACTCAAGGGCCCGAAAGGTATCTTGACTGGTAATAGCACGCTTAATGGTGACTTCTTCTGAAAATTCAAAAAAACTAGGATGTAAGGTAGAAGGTTTAAGAATTTTGCATCAAACGATTACAACTATGGAGATGCCGGCTATGAACTAAATCTATGTCTATTTATAAGGCTTTCCACTTTTTTAGTTGACTACGACTATGACAGAACGGTGCAAACTCAGCTGGACTAACAGTTGCCTCCGCAGGATGGGGTCCAAATTGCTGATTTCAATACAATTTAATAAGGACGCGTTTTGAAGGAGCAGCAGAAGTTGGAACAAATAATCTAAGAGAGGATCAAGTGGCAGTGAATGGAATCCTTCGCATTTGCCTCGAATTTACGTCAACATCGAAAAGCCTGGAATAAAATGCACAGATCGTACGAGATGCTTTCCTTCTGAATATTACCTACACATGCGGCTTATAAGATATTCAACGAAATGTATGACGTAAATTTCTTTAGATGAACGTGAGATTTTATTTCCTGCCAATCAGCATTTCACGTGTAAGGAAGCAAACTTTTCTACTGACATATTTACGCCAAGCGTCTGTCGATATATCTTCAGAGGTCAGGCTTAAATGCCGACTGAAAGCCTTGGGATTAGCGTCAGAATATGCATGAGGTTTCCGGGTGAATGTTGCCCGCAAATGCAACACACGACTGCCGCCACAGGCGCCAACCGCGTACACCAGATATATCCAACTAGGAGCTGGTTATCGGTGTTCGAAGATCAAGGCCAATCGAGAAAGTCTGTGAATTAGGGCCGATAGACACTTCACTGAAGTCCTACCAAAATATGTTTCCATGAGTTCAGCACACCCAGATATCAGAGTGAGAGTCTAATGCGCGTTGAAAGTTTGTAATTTAATCGGTATAGGTGAAGATATACTTTAAAAGTCTGCAATCATATCAACAGTGCTGATTTGGGTTAATGAGATGGAGCGAATCCAAGAAAAGGAGAGTTCTGATTAAATGCTGTCACCATTTGAGA